TGATTGAGTTCTTTACTCTTTCTTTTGGTGCTTAGGGTTCCAGGTTTGACATTTGTATCTGTTTTACTTAGTTTTTCAGGTCTTTGCTGCAGAGGGACTGCATGGTGCTTCTGTCTGTAGTGCCATGTTAGCTCCTCGTCTTCCTTATAGTAAAATTCTGGTTAATAAATACAGGAATGATGGAAACAGAAATCACCATTAGGCAAACAACACAATAGTAATTGTTACAGGCAAGAACCATCAATAGATTCTAAAATTAGTGGGCTAAAATATGATAAGAAGCAGTATAGTTAGAGAATCTCCAAGTATCTCCCCATAAGATGCTGATTAATTTTAAAAAGAAAAATAATAGCTTTGCAGTGGAGAGACCTGGCAAACACCAGCATAACAAAGTGATTAAAGTTATCATCACCAGTAATAAGACATGTACCTCCTAGCATGAACTGAGGACAATACAGAATCACTTCTGTTGCCCAAAATACATAACCTAAATCAAATCATGAGGAAACATCAGACGAACTCAAATTAAGAGACATTCTACAAAGTAACTGGCTAGTGCTTTTCAAAAATGTCAAAGTCATGAAAGACAAAGAAAGATTGAGGAACTGTCCCAGATTGGAGGAGACTAAGGAGACATGAGAACTACATGTAATGTGAGATTCTGGACCAGGAAACACTGAAACACTGAAATTTGAATAAGGTGTATGGATTAGTTAGTATTGTATCAATGTTAATTTCCTAGTTTCAATAATTGTAAATTGCACTATGATTGTGTCTAAGATGTTAGCATTAGAGCAAGCTAGGGGAAAGGTATATGGGAACTCTATTATTTTTGCAGCTTTTCTGTAATTTTAAATATATTTCAAAATAAAAAGTAAAGCAAACCCTGTGCTGTACGTCTCTGAAATATATTCATTTGACCAATAATATCTTTTACGTTTCTTTCATTTTCGTGAATAAATTGGGCCTCATTTGACTTAGAAATGAGGGCTTAATTGTAATTTTGTTGACTCATACTTTTGAGAAAGTATATTTTATTCTTTCGTAGTGAAAATGCAGCCTGAGGAAGAAAAAGTAGGATTTGTTATGGCCTTCAGAGACATCTGTTCCCCTAATCTAAGAGAAGGTGGGGGAAAATGAAACCAGTGCCAGTGACTGAGAATCGTTCCCTGGGAGGCACCATGAGCTTCTGACGTGTCTTGTCCCAATTCTGGCAGTTGTGATTTAGATAACATTATTCTGGAGCTGGGCTGGACTCCTTTTAAGTCTTTCCTTAGCATCAGAAGGACTCCATGAGCTAACAGGGCTTGTGGTTCTCTTTCTGGTTTTGGCATATTTATAGCAGAAGGTTTGGCCATGGATATGTTGGTGTGGAGGGGTAGTTGGCTGAAGCTGCATCTGTAAGCATTGGCAACTGTTGTTTCTTAGACACTTAGAAAAGGCACTCTGGCTTCTCTCTCATTTTGCAGCCTTAGGATATTTATTTATTCCTCCAAAGTTGGTATTCTTTGATTCTGTTTTTAAAATAATAGCAAAATCTTCACTCAAATGTAACCTGTGTCTGTCTATTGAAGTCCGATCTTATAAAACCCAAGAAAATGAGGGCTCATGTCAGATGAATTAAAAGAATATTGGTTTTTGTTTTCCTACCTATATTCTACCCTAGATATGTATGAGTGAAGAGGTAAAAAAAAAAAAAAGTACTAAAAAGTATTGAAAAAACAATTTTTTAAAAAACTAAATGTAATTGCGTGGCTCAGTTACCAAATCCCACTTGCTCTTGAAGGGAGCATCTTCCTGCCTTTACCCATAGCCATTTCTTCCCTGATCAGGTGCTACCTGCAGTACGTTGGGGTGCTCAAGGGCATGTTCCTGCAGAGAATGAAAGTTTTCCAGAGTAGCTTTAGATGGCCCTGCAAGACAGAGCTAATTGTAAAAGGAGAGAATGATACGCTTGACTTATAACGATAATCAAAATACACCTTTAAAGAAATAGAGAGAGAAAGATACTTATAACTGACAAAGGATTAGTTTACAGAATATATATTTTGAAAAACAACAACAAAAGCTCCTATCAGTCAATAAGAAAAAGACAAATAATGCAATAGAAAAATGGGCAAAAATGAAATCAATGAAACCAAAAGGTGGTTCTTTGAAAAGATCAATAAAATTGGTAAACCTCTAGCCAGACTGATCAGGGGGAAAAAAAAGAGAAGATAGAAATTACCAATATCAGGAATGGCAGAGGTGTCATTACTACAGATTCTGCTGATATTAAAAAGATAGCAAGATAATATTACGTATTTTAAACCAATAAGTTCTACAACTTAGATAAAATGGACGAACTCCTTGAAAGACACAACTACCAAAACTCACTCCAGAAGAAATGGATACATCACTTCTGAGTTATAAAAAGAGTGGATTAGACCAGATTAGCACACACATGGGAGAGAGAGCTGTCATGTGAGCATTATCTACAAGCCAAGGAACCAAGGAATGCCAGGAACTACCTACAAGGAAGGAATCAACACAATGGAGACCTCAATTTGGACTTCTAGCCTCAGAAACTGTGAGACAGTTCTTTAGAGCCACCCTCTTGTGTTATTTGCATTGCAGCAACACTAGGAGACTAAGACATGGAGTGATTCACGGGGTGGTGTCTATGCACAGCAGTGGTGCCTGTGGGGATGAACAGTATCTGGTGGGAGAGGTACCCAACCACGCTATTCCTGTGTCTTGACCTTGGCTCTGATCCTGGCCAGCTAAGTTTCTGCCTTTTTTCCAAACCTGATTTTCCTGCATTTCAGTCAGTTTTGTGAGATTTCTAATGTCCTTCAAATAAATGTCACTCTCTTTAAAAAAAAAAAAAAAGAAATAGATAACCTGAATAGATCTGTCTACCAAACAAATTGAAACTGGGGTTTAAAACATTTCCACAGAGAAAAGTCTAGTCCCAGATGGCATCACTAGTGAAGTCTACCAAATATTTAAGGAAGAAATACTACCAGTTCTACACAAACTCTTCCAAGAAAATTGAAGAGGGTATAATTTCCACCTCCTTCTATGAAGTCATTACAAGAAAAGAAAGAAAAAAACCCATGAGCCTAGGTGTAAAAAATTTGAACAAAATTTTAGCAAATAGAACCTAGCAATATGTTAAAAGGATAATACATCCTTTTAACTAAGTGACTAAGTGGGGTTTATCTGAGGAATGCAGGGTTGGTTTAATAGTCAAAAGTCAATCTATGTAGTTCACCATATTAACAAGCTAAAAAAAGAAAAACCATCTGATCATCTCAATAGATGCAGAAAAAGTATTTGACAAAATCTAACATCCATTCTTGATTTAAAAAAAAAACTCTCAACAAACAAGGAATAGAAGGAAACTTCCTCAGCCTGATAAAGGGCAGCCTGTAGCTAGCATCATACTTAATGTTGAAATGATTGCTTTCCCTCTAAGAGGAGGACCAAGACAAGGATGTCTGTGCTTACCACTTCTAGTCAGCATTGTACTGGAGGTTCTGGCCAATGCAATTAGGCAAGAAATGAAGTCATCCTGATTGGAAAGCTAGAAATAAAACTGTCTTTATTTGCAGACAACATAGAATTCTGTTTTCAGCCAAACTGTCAATCAAGTGTTGGAGCAGAATAAAGTCATGCAAAAGACTCAGAAAAATGACCTTCTGAACACTCTTTCTTAAAATTTACTTGGAAATATATTCTAGCAAAACAAGGGATAAACCAAGAAAAGGGAAAACTAGAGGATTCTAGAAGGAATGGCTCTCACCTCAGGTCAGCTGCAGCAGGTGGGAGCTATACACCAGGCCTGGAGGACACTCTAGGTCAGAGAATGAGTGGGAGCCCAGGTGACAAAGGGGAATGTACACCAGAGGGCATCAGGCTTAAACAAAATTGCGGCTCTGGTAAAGACAGAGAGAGGAAGATAAAAAGGCAGTAACCTGCAGAAGAGGTAGCCATCTGTGTAAGAAAGCCTGGCACGTATATGAAGCCAACTAAAGTGAGCCATTAGTTTAAGCAATGTGATCGGAGTGTAAGAAAAAAAGTTCGTTTTACCTTGATGTTAGAAGGCTTTTTCTTCTAAATGGGCCCAGGGGTTGGGGCAGTGCTGACCCAAAGAAGGAAATGGATCAAAGAGAAGGATACTCTTGGCCTGGCATATTGATGTATTCATAAACACTTCTCACCTGTTTTCAGAATATAGATACTAAGAGTGTAAAAGTTAGAAATGTAGCTGACAGACAGAAGGCGGGGTGTAGAAGTTAGGCAAAGGGCAGTCTGGACCTTTTTTTTTTTTTCTTTTAACCTCTTCTTTGAACTAAGTATCTAGGTATTGTTTGTTTTTTAACTTCTTTGATAATGATCCAGAAAAAATTATGACCAGCCTGTTTGTTAAAAATGGACACAATAAACTTTTCCGCAAGCACAGCATGGAAAACAAAGACGTTTCAGCTTAAAGATGCCAGTGGTTTGGTCGGGTCGAAGTTCTGTGTGGTGAGGCAAGGATGGGCTGATGCTCATTGTGGACAGAACATGTAATTTTGGGGCTGTCTTGGAGGGAGAAGTGTTGATGTCTCTCTAGGTGGAAACCATATCTAGAGGAGGACACAGACAGGAATTGGCAGCATCATAAGACAGTTTAAATAAGTAGAGTGTTAAATAGTGTCACATGTGGGTGTCACTTAGGGAACACAATTCTTCCAAATAGTACAGAAATCAGTATTTGAAAGTGAGATGGCTAGATGAGAAAGTGGGAAATAAATATTTGTTTATCCAAGATCAAAAGTAAGGAGCAGATGTAGAGTAGAAGTCAGTGGTTAACTCTCTTCTGGGAGGTGATGTCCACTGGTCATTGTTCCACATTAATCTCCAGTTGGTTCAGGGCAGGTGATGTTCATCTGCTGTGGGAGAGCAAGTGTGGCAGTCTGTGCTGCATGGACCCAGCCTGTGCCAACATTGACTTGCTGCCTTTTTGTCAACAGGCGTGGTGTCTGTCTGTTTTGAGGGGGACAGTGATGGTTACATCAACCTGGTGGCCTATCCTTACGTGGAAAGTGAGACTGTGGAGCAGGATGACACACCAGAGCGGGAGCAGCCTCGGCGCAAACACTCTCGCCGGAGCCTGCACCGGTCGGGCAGTGGCAGTGACCACAAGGAGGAGAAAGCCAGCCTGCCCCTCGAGACGTCTGAGAGGTAAGGGGATGGTGAGCAGGGCTGCATATGTGTGTCTTATCTTGTTGGCACAAGCAAGACATCTCTGGAGTCCTGACACATCTTGGGAAGCACAGCTCAAGGTCGAGAGAAAATGGCTGTCATTCTTGGGCCACCCCTACAGGTGTGGCCAGCCCCGAGTGCCACATTGACCCAGTGATGCCTCATTTTGGGCATGAGCTGTAGCTGGTCGAGAAAGAACAAAGCCCTCTCAGCCCTTTGTAAACAGGTATGCCCTGTGCTGGTGACAGCAGGATCTCTGGCATAAGGTCAACGTGCATCAGTCCACAGTGCCACTCCAGTTCCTTGCTGACCGCAGGAGAGAGCCAGAGGGCTGTGAGAGGCCATCCAGACAGGTGTCCTTAACCATTTTGTGTATTAGACCTCTCTGAGAATCTGCTATCTGCCATGAACTCTTTTCCCTGCACATAAAATTTACTTGATTGCATTGGAAATTGATTTTTTTTATATAGATTAGAAAAATAGTCTTTACAAGGAATCATGTTTCTTGATATTTCATGCAAAAAAATGTGAACTTTCACTAGGATGGCTGTAATCTAAAGGATGAACAATAACAAGTGTTGACAAGGATGTGGAGAAATTGGAACCCTCCTACCTTGCTGGTGGGAATGTAAAATGGTACAGCCACTTTGGAGAGCACTTTGGCAGTTCTTCATAAAGTTAAACCCAGCAGTTCCACTCCTAGGTATATATCCAAAAGAATTGAAAACGTATGTTCACACAAAAACTTATACATGAATGTTCACAGCATTATTCACAATAGCCAGAAAGTAGAAACAAATGATGAATGGATAAATATATGTGGTGTATTCACACAATGGAATATTACTCAGCCATAAAAAGGAATGACGTACTGATACATGCTACAACATGGATAACCTTGAAAATTTTACGTTCAGTGAAAGAATCCAGTCACAAAAGACCACATATTGTATGATTCCATTTTATACGAAATGTCCAGAGGAGGCAAATCCATAGAGACACAAAGTAGATTAGTGGTTGCCAGAGGCAGAGGGGAGGACGGAATGGTATGAGATTTCTTTTTGGGGTGATGAAAATGTTCTGAAATTAGATAGTGGTGATGTTTCACAACCGTGCGAATATACTGATAACCACTGACTTTTTTTTTTTTTAAAGGAAAAAAAAAAAAAAACTAAAAACGACATGAACTTCTTTAAACAAATTGAAATCAAAATTGTGTGATTAAATAATAATCATGAGTAATTTCATCAAAAATAAATTTCAGTGCTCTTTTAAGAACTATTTATACGGGATCAAATTGTCAACAGCAACTTGAAAGATTCGATAGGAACCTTAGGGGGCAGTGAGTTTTTGTTAATGCGGGAGGAACAACTCAGAAAAGGAGGGTGAGAATGATGACACAGCTGGAAGAATGCAATCAATTGTCACTAAATGGTACATGCGGAAAGTGTTGAATCGGTGTATATTTTGCTGTGTATATTCCCAACAACAACAAAATAAATAAAGTTATATTAAAAAAATAAATTTCAGTGAGTAGGATACTCTGTGGCTTGACTTAGAGGTTGAAATTGGGAATTTTCTTTGATGTGGCAGCACATAATTTATTTCTGACGTCAGATCACTTTAGCAACACGTGCTTTACACCCTAAGTCCTGAAGCTTTCTAAGGGCCCAGCATGTTCTAGCTTTCTTCAGAACTCACTCTGGTGAGTGTGTGATGGGTCATTTCCTGTGTCCTCAGTCAGAGGTCCTCTCTGGCCAGGTCTGCCTCACTGATATAAGGAGAGGGCTTCACACCACTACTTAGTGAGCAGGGTCTCCATTGTTGAACGTTCTTGTGGACAAATGGACTCCAGCCTGCAAAAGCACTTTACTGGTGCCCTCCTGTGCTCCCTAAGGGGCATCTTCTTGATCGATGACTGTGGCCACAACTTGGTCATTCACATAAAATGTTCCCCAAATCCAGCAAGCCGTGGCTGGCAGTTGATGGCTCTCTCGCAGTGGCTCTTCTGAGTGGGCTTTCTTTTGCCCTCCAGATGTACCAGAGGTGCTTCAGGAGTCATCTAGTGAAAAGCCAGTGAACACAGAATAACATCAAGGTCTGCCTGTGTCCCGGGCTCAAGGCTCTACCCGCAGTGACCAAACTTCTGTTTGGCAGGTTAGCAGTGCCTCTTAAGTCATCTCAGGGGGTGGCACTTGTTTCTTTACTAGGGCTGCAACACCAGTGGTGGTGCCAAGTGCCACAGGAGCCTTATCCAGATACAGAGAACTTGTTTCAGTTTACTTGACAAATAAGAAAAAATTTTGCTGTTTCCTAAAGGAATCATAAAATAGGTGTCCATGAATGGTCTAGGCAGTGCCTTTGCCAGAAGAAAATGCAGGCTTTGACATGGTGAGAGTTGTCGGTGGGCTTCTCTACTTCCTATTAAAGGGAAATGAGCCAGGTCATCCAGCCTGCCTAGCCACCCTGCAGGGGAGAGGCAGCACGTTCAGCACACACTAGCCCTAGTAGCTAGGTTCACTCTATACGACTCATTCTACAGATAGAGGAAAAGCCAGCAGTTCTGGAGACGAGGGTGGCATTGACATTGCTGCCGTGTTCCACCTTTGCTTGGAGCCACAGACTTGCTCTACCATTTCCAAGGTGCATGGCTTCACCAGTGCTGTGTGGTTTTTTTTTTTTTCTTCTTTCCTTGGCAGTATGATAAGTAGCATTGCAAGTTACTTCAAACAAAATGAAGTTGTGGTAAAATTCTAGTATTTTCTATATGAATCACCTTCTCACCAAAACCGTTTGTGGTTTTATAAGTAAAATTCCCTCACTCAAATGGCTTCATGCTTTCCACAGACGGGAACCTTGTCCACTGAGAAACACAGAACCTCTGGGGCCTGCTCGGGGCGGACTGTGTCCTGCTGTTTTTCTTTGATGTTTTCCAACTTTTCCAGGCCTGGAGGCAAAGATATACATAAGCATAATGTCAGCATATGCTTTCTTTAAGCCTTATTAAAGGAAGTGATTCCAGAGATTGTGGACAAAGATGGGACACTTACATCCTGACAGTTTGTACTGCGTGCACCACCCTATGCTTGTTTGGTGTGAAACTGCATCTTCATCACATAATTTGACAAAAGAATTATTTTTCAAAGACAGTCTTCAGAGATACAGGAAGAACACTACTCATACCATTTGTTCACTTTTATTGGCCCTGGCCTCTGGGGCCCCTGTCATCAGGGTCTCTGGCAGCACAATAGTACCAATCCAAGCTTTCCCTGTCCTGTGCAGTAAGACCGCAGAGTAGGGGTGACGTGTCTGAGCCCCGTAGTGATGTGTATGTTCTCCCCCTTTCTTTTCAGCTCCCAGGAGGCAAAGAGTCCAAAGATGGAGCTACACAGCCACTCGGATGTCCCTTTCCAGATGCTGGATGGCAACAGTGGTCTTAGTTCTGAGAAGATCAGTCACAATCCCTGGAGCCTGCGTTGTCACAAGCAGCAGCTGAGCCGCATGCGCTCCGAGTCCAAGGACCGAAAGCTCTACAGTATCCTTGTTGTTCTCCCGCAGCATCGCCTGCTGGCACCACGAGTCCCGTGTTGGGGCCCCCGCTGTCCAGGGACCCCTCTTTTATTTTCTTCTTCTTTCCTCATAGCTCCTCTTCCTCTGGGTATGACCGTTCTTTTTACTTTCATCAACATGGATTTGTCTTTTCTGGTTTTGGGGGCTGGTAAAACTGAAGCTTAAAACTTGGCGGTCTAGACCATACTGTCCAATAGAACTTTCTCTGATGATGGAGCTGTTCTATATCTGTGCTGTTCGATATGGTAGCCACCAGCCACATCAAGCAGCTGAAATATGACACCTGTGACTGAGGAACTGAATTTTTAATTTAATTTTAATTAAAAATTAAATTTAAATAGCAGCATGTGGCTAGTGGCTGCCATATTGATTGTGATTAGAATAAAGGATCTGTGGGTGCGTGTGTATTTCTCGCCTCCCGAAAGATAATCAGTAATTAAAACATACTATGTTTGATTTTGGTGGGGGTTTTTTGGTCTAAAGATAAATGCTATACATGTATAACATAAAAATAGTTTTAAGATATTAAGGTAAAATTTTATGGAATAGGAACTTTTACATCATTTAGTGTTTTGAAGCAGTAGACAAATAATACTGAGCAAGTGACAGGAAGTGTGCTGAGCTCTTCGTATGCATTTACTCAGTTAATTTTTACAATAATCTTATGAGGGAGGAATGATGATTATTCCCATTTTATAGGTGAGGAAATGGAAGCACAGAGAGGTTAAGTGTTTGTCCAGAGCCATTGAGTGGCTGGCAGGGCAGGATTCAAGAGCCTGTGCTGGGAGCACTGGGAGATATTTCTGCAGCCGCCTTCAGGTTTTATCATCACTTATTTATAGGTTACAGCACGCTAAGAGATTTATTAAAGGCCCAATAGAATTTTTTTTTTTAACATTTTATTTTTGTTAAGGTGAAGTTTATAGAGCAAATTAGTTTCCCATTCTACAATTTATACATAGCTTGATTCGTAACATTGGTTGCAAACCCTTCAGTGTGTCAACACATTCTCCCCTCTGCCTCCCTGGGTTCCCCGTGTCCATTCACCCTGCTTTCTACCCCTGCCATCCTTCTAAACTTTGCTTTTCTGCATATGTTCCCTTTAGGTTTCATACAGTTGATTGTTCTGAGGTTTACATTCCTCAGTGGTGGTATTGTTCATTTTATAGGCCTGTCGATTATATGGCTATAATGTGATCTCTGGGAGTGATTTCAGTTCCAAGTTTGAAGGGCCAGAGTCTCGGGGGTTCTAGCAGTCTCTATCAGACCAGTAAGTCTGGTCTTATTTATGAGTTTGAATTTTGTTCTACATCTCCCAGTCTGTCCATGACCTTCTATTGTGGTCTGAGTCAGAGCGGTCAGTAGTGGTAGCTGGGCACCATATAGTTCTTCTGGTCTCAGGCTAGTGTATAACGGTTTTTTATAATTTACTCTAAGAGGAATTAGGAAATGTTAAAATGTTCATTGTCAGAGTGATGCTGTGTGTCTGTCCTTCAAGCTCTGTGATTGCTTCACAGCACCCAAATATGGAATTGCCCAGTACCAGTGACATTTGGCAGACATGTGACAAGCCTATACCTTTAACCAAAAGTGCAAGTAAACATTAGATTGTTGTAGACAGAGTACATTTAGATGAAGACACAGATAAAGACGCCAGGAGGTTGGGAGCATAGAGCTGTTTTGAGCAGAAGGTCCTGTAAGTATTAAGGGATAAGTTTAAATTTTTAGTCCACTTGTTTGAAATTTAGTGAGAAGAATGGCAAGGAAGAAATTCAAATCCAGCTTTTTCTAAAGATTCTTATTTGGGAACGTTAGAATCTGATTTCCCCATATTTTGTAGTAGTGCTGCAAAGACATCTTCCTTGTTTCTTAGGCCTGGGTGAGATGCTGGCCTGAGTAGGTCCTGGGTTTATCAATGGTAACAAGGATGTGTCTGAGTCTGCCAAGTCTTTAGTTTGTGTATTGCCTGCAAGAGAATTCTGAAGAATGACATAAAAGTAGTAAGTTAGTAGTGTGAAACCCTCATTTGAGAGTTTGTGGAGGTGAATACAGATTACATTAGCTGAGAATGCCCCTTTTTATAGAAAATCTTGGTTGTGCTTTCCTGGCTGGGCTAACGGTGAGTGTGGTTGTCATTCTCCTTGACTGTGGCCCAGAGTTCCTCCTGCTTGAGAATGTGGTGCACCACTTCAAGTACCCTTGTGTGCTGGACCTGAAGATGGGCACCCGGCAGCATGGCGATGACGCATCCGCTGAGAAGGCGGCCCGGCAGATGAGGAAGTGCGAGCAGAGCACGTCCGCTACGCTGGGTGTCAGGGTTTGTGGCATGCAGGTGAGTTGCCCCTGGTGAGAGCCTAGGTGCTTGTACTTGCCTGCCACCCATGCTGAGTGTCTTCTTCCCACATTGGTCCAGAGCCCCCTCTGGAAGGGTGAGGCCCCCACAGGATGCTGAGTGTGTCCTTACAGGTGCACTCCCTGAGCCCTCTTGTCCTTACCTGTTGACCTTGATCTGGGCACCAGGCTCTGGCCTCTCAGAGAGCCCTCGCTGCGACAGCCTGCTGCCTTGACATCGGGGCATCTGGGACCCCTATCTGTCAGCAAGATGCTCCCAGTTTGAGTCCAGTCGGGCCCCAGGGCAGCTTTGAGGAGAGTTCCACAGGTGGTAGCAGGGAACCTGTAATGCTGGTCTTGGCTCTCTCTTGGCGTTAGCATGGGAAAGCTCGGGGCGAACGTGGCCTGCCCTGCTCCAGGGAGGAGTAGAAAAGCTTAGGTTGGTCAGAAGTGCTTTCCAAACAGTGCTCACCCAGGGCACCATGCAGTCATTAGACCTCCCAGCACTCACCCTGTTTCCTGGGGTTTCAGGTGTACCAGCTGGACACAGGGCATTACCTCTGCAGGAACAAATACTATGGCCGTGGGCTCTCCATTGAAGGCTTCCGCAATGCCCTCTACCAGTACCTGCACAACGGACTGGACCTGCGGCGTGACCTCTTTGAGCCCATCTTGAGTAAACTGCGGGGCCTGAAAGCTGTGCTGGAGCGGCAGGCTTCCTACCGATTCTACTCCAGCTCGCTGCTGGTCATCTATGACGGCAAGGAGTGCCGGGCTGAGCCCTACCTGGACCGCTGGTCCGAGATGCGTCATAAGCACCTGGACACGGGGCTCCCAGAGGTGGCATCACCCTGTGGTTCCAGCACCAGCCCCGAGGCAGGCCCCTCCTCTCCACCCAAGGTGGATGTCCGCATGATCGACTTTGCACATAGCACGTTCAAGGGTTTCCGGGATGACCCCACTGTGCATGACGGGCCAGACCGAGGTTATGTGTTTGGCTTGGAGAACCTCATCAACATCATGGAACAGATGCGGGACGAGAACCAGTAGGCCCAACTCTGGGCCCCCAGAACCCCTTCCTCTTCACCCACAGGCAGGGACCATCGCTCCGAACTTGCTGTGAGGACACACAGACTTTGCTTTTAAAGGGTTATATTTCTCTCTGGTGTAAACTAAAAGAAATGTTTTTAGCTGTAGCCTGAAATCCATATATATAAAGTGAGGAGGGAGAACACATATCCTCTCAGCCAGGCTCGTTAGCTCTACAGCTCTGACTGCTGTGTCCAGGCTAATGTAGGAAGGAAGAGGTGCCCCTGGTGGGCTTGGCAGCAGGGACAGGGTGCCCTTGGACACGGGTTTCTCTTGCCTAGGTCTCTTGGGTCTGTGACTGCAGGGCCTTGGGGATTGTGGGGTGAAGCCCTGGGCTGGCGCAGGGCCCCTCCATACCCACTTGTCTCTTGTTCCCCAGAAGTAGAGGGGATTGGGTGCCTGTCTCTTGAGGGCTTTCCAGTTTTGTGCTCTGGCTGTCAGCTCTTTAACAGATGTCCCCAGGGTGCCACAGGCCTGACTACACACAGCTGGACCCTGCTGCTCAGTTCTGACCTTGGCATCGGGGCCAGATTTATGAAGCTGGGCCGAGGCCACTCACGCAGAGGACAGGCCCCTGGATTCCCTAGGCACCCCTTGGCACTTGAACTTGTTCCTCCTCCTGCCGTCACGCCCCAGCCAGCCTCTCTCACTAAGATCCTGTCCCTTGAAGGGGGCTTAGCTCTATTTGCTGAGGAAAGGCAGTGTCCCAGCAGGCCTCAGGGCCTCTGTTGGCTCTGGCCCAGACAGTGTTTCCAGCTCTTGTGCTGTGGGTGGGAGTCTTCCTCTTAACTTGGGCAGCTGTGCTGCCTCTGGATAGGCTGCTTCTCCTGGGGCTCAAGGGCTGCAGTCCGCTCAGGGTCTCACATTTCACCAGGGCGAGCTCAAGGCCATAGCCCATGTGAGGAGGTTCAGGCCCTGGACCCAGAGGGAGAACTTTGTCTGCTCACAGGGACACATGTCTGGGCCCTGGACGTAGGTGCCCAGTTTCTGCTAATGAAAGCTTTGATCAGACCTGGGGTCGGTCAGTCTGTCCATTTGTCCATCTGCCAGCCTGTGTCTCTGGGGGTCCCTCCCCTGGGGTGTAGCCTAGCTCATTAGTAGATACTGCTTTCCTTAGCAAAACTCCCTTTCTCCTTTCTGAGGTGAGCTTTTGCCCCTGTGCCCTTCCTCAGCAGGTGCTTACCTTTTTATAAAGAACTGGTAGCAGAATTATAAGAGGTGTTTCCCTGCTGGCTCAGCACCCTCTTTGTGGGCCTGGTGTGTGGCCCCCTCAACACTGGCAGTGGTGCAGTGAAGGCCCAAGGGGCAGCCCCTTCCTCCAGGCTTTTAGTCATTTTTGCTGCCAGCCCTTATTGGCAGAAACCTGCTGGCTGTAAAGCACATGGCCAGGAGGTGATGCTGCATCCACCTAGCCATTACCAACCCATCCAGAGCACTCTAACCTCTGAGCCTAGGGCCACTGTCATTGTCACTTAGGGCATGTTCCTGTTTCAGCATTAATGGTTAGTCTGCCAGCCTGTGTCTGTTGAGAGGCCTTGATAACTAACAATGGGCTAATTTTTTCCCGGTCCTTAGAGATGGAGCCTCACTTTTTAAATGGGCTCCTTGATAGATCCCTGCATCTGTCGGCCCTCTGACCCTGTGCCAGTAGTGGGCAGGTTCCCATTCCTTGGGGCTGGGAGGAGCAGCTTGCCTGTTTCTGGTGAGTTATGACTGTCTTCTCTTGTACCATTCTGTAGATTCGGTCATGGAGGCAGTAGCTGTTGGCTAGTGTAGACAGTCATTTCCTGTCAGGACGAAGGACAAGACAGGGTCTGTGGTCACCCTGGGCTCCCTTGATTGAACCTGTCCACCCTGGCCATGTGCTGGGACCTCCCGAGTTTGGGAGATTCTGGGAGCGGATGCTGCCCTCTTCTGTTCCTCATTAGTGAGAGAGGCTGCACCCACTTAATTCAGTCTTTTCCAGGCACTAAAAAAAGCAAAAGGGCCTGGGATTTGCTGATGTTCCCGCAAGGCAGGGCTCCTTTTTGCAGCACTTACGACACCTGGAGACAGCTCTGTTGTCTAGGGTGGGGTGGGTGTGGTGCGCCTGTGTGTGCGCACGCGCTCTGCCACTGCTCTTTCTCCCCGTGCTCCAGGCCAGAGACCCCGTTCATGCCAGGGTCCGCCTTCCCAGCCCCAACTTGGGACCAAACTGCAACGCGGGATCACGGGTTGGGGTGCTCAGGTGACCCCTCTCTACAGTGCTTCCCCGGGCCAAGCTGACACCAGCCCCTGGGGTGTGGGTGGGACGGGCAGGGGAGGTACTTAAAAGAGGAAGGCGGCCAGTGACGCCACCTTTCCCTCTCAGGGCTTGTGCAATGGGCGTGGGGATTTCCCCCAAGGGGCTGGGGGTCTGGGCTAGATCCTTAGCCGTTGCTCACTCGCTCACGTCTGGTCACATGCATGTTCCCTAGAAGCAGACTGCTTTGAACTTCTGTTAATTTGGTTTTGTTTGTGACGATTTAAAAAATGTTTTAATGAAGGAAAAAAAAAAAAAAGGAGAACCCTGGAAAGGACCTGCCTGGTCTTTTGCTTTTCCGGTAACAGTAAGGCCTCGCTTTCTGGGACTCGCTGTCGTCGGCTTTTTCCTGGAAGCTAACCAAGCCCGCCCACTCCGCCCAGACCTGCGCCCCAATGCTACACGTGTCTCCGGCCGCGACTCCGCGCCAATTGCGTTTTCTCGGGACCTCGCGTGCGGAGAGTGGGAGGCTCCAGTCGAGCCCGCCTCTTTCTGTTCACCTGGCGCTGCCCGCCCCGCTTGTGTCTGAGGTCGTGTATGTCAAAATAAAGCCGCTAGAAACGGAGGCGAGTCTGCAGTCTTTGTGTAAACATCACGGTTTCCGGGTAGCCCAGCCACCAGCCCCACCTATCCCCACGCCCTCTGCGTCCCGAAGCCCCTGCCTCGTACTCCTACCCCGGGACCCGAGTGGAGGGGGCAAGGCTAGGGAAGGGCGGGGCCGGAAGCGACTGTACCCGCTGCGAAGTCCGGCTGGCAGGAAATGAAGCCTCTCCCTTGGTGCCAGTTCCGCCAATGGACAGCTGACCCGCACGTCCGGGTCCCCGGTCCCCATGGCAGCCCAGCGCGCTCGGGACTTCATTGGCTACGTGTGCCGAAGAGCCGCTCTCCTGCGTTACGTCGCCGGCGGCCGTGCCACGTACACGGAAGCCGATTGGTCCACCCGGGTTACGTCACTGCCTGCGCCGGGTCGGGCCTGAGTTCGGGGCCAGAAGCGCTTTGTCGCACGTCGCGTCCTGGTTTGTAGGGTCCTGAGCTCCCGCGTTAGGGCAGACCGGGCAGACGAGGCGGAGCCAGAGTCGATCAGTTTGGCAAGTGAAGGGCACGGGGCTGGGCACAGCAACGGGAGCGCGCGGCGAGGGTCGGCCAGGGGGGGACCGGGCACGTCGGAGCCCAGGACTCACTGTGTGGCCGCCCGCAGGCGCGATGAAGGCACTGATCTTGGTGGGCGGCTATGGGACGCGGCTGCGGCCGCTGACGCTGAGCATCCCGAAACCACTGGTGGACTTCTGCAATAAGCCTATCTTGCTGCACCAAGTGGAGGCGCTGGCCGCGGTAAGGCTCGGAGTCGGTCGGACCTGGCGGGGGGAGGGACGACTAGTGAGCGGAGGGCAGGTGTACCCGCGCCTTTCCGTTGAGCCCGCCTGTTGGTCCGCACTATTCTGTCCGGCAGGCAGGTGTGGACCATGTGATCCTCGCCGTGAGCTACATGTCTGAGTTGCTGGAGAAGGAAATGAAGGCGCAGGAGCAGAAGGTGAGGCGCGGATTGTCTTTTCCCTTGCTCCCCGCTCAGCCTCCCACGCCTGGGTGGGAGGAACCTGACAGTGTGGCTTCTCTCTTCCAGCTAGGAATTCGCATCTCCATGTCCCATGAAGAGGAGCCTTTGGGGACAGGTCAGTAGAGACAGAAGGGTCCCTTGGGGAGGGTATAGGGTCAGGAAGGCAAGAAGACCCAGCCTTGGTGGGGCCTGCTGAGCGTGGATCCAGGGGCTCAGATCCCCCAGCAAAGTGGTAACCTGTCCCCCTCCCCCAGCTGGGCCCCTGGCCCTGGCCCGTGATCTGCTGTCTGAGACTGAAGATCCCTTCTTCGTCCTCAACAGCGATGTGATCTGCGACTTCCCCTTCCAAGCCATGGTGCAGTTCCACCGGCACCACGGCCAGGAGGGCTCCATCGTGGTAAGTTCTTCTTCGCCTCTGATACTCCCACCCCAATGCCCAGCCTCTTCCCACCCTAGCCATGAATTGTCACCTCATGTGGTGGGAGCAGAGCTGTGCAGTATGTGTCTTTAAGCATTTGAGGCACCCCCCGAGATTTGGGACAGGATGAGTGTCAAGCCCCAGGAGCACTGGACTAGGTCTGAGGTCCCCCTGTGCTCAGGTGACCAAAGTGGAGGAACCCTCCAAGTACGGTGTGGTGGTATGTGAGGCTGACACAGGCCGCATTCACCGGTTCGTGGAGAAGCCGCAGGTGTTTGTGTCCAACAAGATCAACGCAGGCATGTACATTTTGAGCCCTGCGGTGCTGCAGCGCATTCAGGTGTGTGGGAGCCAGCTGCTGGGTGGCCTGGGGTGGGGCAGGCCACCACTGCCATGACCCTGCTCACAAGTGCCCACTCCTACAGCTGCAGCCCACGTCCATTGAGAAGGAGGTCTTCCCTGTCATGGCCAAAGAGGGGCAGCTATATGCCATGGAACTGCAGGGTGAGGCAGGGAGGCCATAGGGTGGGGGTGGTCTGTGGCTGGGCTGAGCCCCCTGATGCATCCTTTTCTGCAGGCTTTTGGATGGACATTGGACAGCCCAAGGATTTCCTCACTGGCATGTGCCTCTTCCTTCAGTCGCTGCGACAGAAGCAGCCTGAGCGACTCTGTTCAGGCCCAGGCATTGTGGGCAACGTGCTCGTGGTGAGGCCCTTGCTCAGCTCAGCGTATCATTCATTAATCTCCTCAGTTTCAGGATAAGTGGCCTACTTGTATCTTTCCTCACTGCCCTCAGGACCCAAGTGCCCGCATTGGCCAGAATTGCAGCATTGGTCCCAACGTGAGCCTGGGCCCTGGTGTGGTGGTGGAGGATGGTGTGTGTATCCGGCGGTGCACAGTGCTTCGGGACGCCCACATCCGCTCCCACTCCTGGCTTGAGTCCTGCATTGTGGGCTGGCGCTGCCGTGTGGGCCAGTGGGTAAGCCTGTAGGCTGGGCCAGGGTGGGGGGGGGAGGGGCAGGGCATGCACCTGCCTCACTGATTCTCTCCCTCCCTCCCTAAGGTGCGCATGGAGAATGTGACAGTGCTGGGCGAGGACGTCATAGTTAATGACGAGCTCTACCTCAACGGGGCCAGTGTGCTGCCCCACAAGTCTATCGGCGAGTCGGTGCCGGAGCCTCGCATCATCATGTGAGGGTGTGCTTTGGGGCTGATGGAGCCCCCCCCCTTTTCTGCATCAGCAAGGGGAGCACTGGCTTCACACATTAGAGGGCCCTGGACTCATTGCTGTTGTCTGGGGGATTGGATGAGGCTTACGTTGTTGGACATCTGCCTTCTTGTGTGGGCATATCTGGCAGGATCCCTGCTGGGCAAACCCCACAAACCCCACTCCTCAAGAGGGCCAGGGCTGTATGGAATAATAATTTAATGCTCACTGTGGCCCTGACTGAAAGTCAAGCTCAGGCACAATTAGGGCCGTGGCTGGGCTCCCACCAATGAGGCTACACACAGGCAAGATGGGGGCTGGACACGGTAGGGACCCTAGGGAACAGGGCAAGAGGAACTCATAAATAGGGCCCAGCCTGGGCTGGGTTTGAGGGTGCAGGGTCCAGAATGGCACAGGCCGTGTGGGCCAGGCAGGTCTAGGCGGCCGAGGAGGTGGCACTGGTTGATTTTTCGCAGTCCTCCACAGACACAATGGTGGCTTTGCAGAAGAAGCAGTCCTTGTTGTTCATCAGGTGCTGGTCAATGCAGGCTCTACCACAGGAGAGGGGATGAGGGCTGCCCTGTAGTCTGCTGTTCCCTGCTCTCCGCCCCCCTTCCAGTGCCCAGGACCCCCTTACTTGCAGGACTTGTGGCCACAGGGCTGGAACACAGCAGAGATGGGGTGGGCGTAGCAGATGGGGCAGAGGTCTTCCTCACTGGTGGGCTGCAGGGAAGAGTGCAAGGTGGGCTGGGTTTGGGTCCCTGGACAGATGTGTGGATGTACGTTTCACCGACACGCATGCAGGTAGCATGGACCTGTGTGCTGTGGTCATACTCACCAGAGAGGCGGCCGCTGCCTGAGCAGATGCAGAGGTCAGGTGTGCCAGCATCCGGTCCACCTGGGCCAGCTCTTCGGCACTGATGTAATCTGTGTCTGGAGGATGGGAGGGGATGTCAGGCCAAACGTGCCCTTAGACCTTTGTGCCTCTTGAGTATTGCCAGCCTAGGAATTTGCTGTTCTTGAGACCCTTGGCCTGGCCCAGCCCCAAATACCTCTTCCCTGCCCCCACTGCCTCTGCCTCCACCCCCACTTCTGCAGGGAGAGGTGCTTCCCTCCACTCACAACTCTGCAGGGAGAAGCGCTTCCGGTCAGGGGCAGGCAGGGCAGTGCCAGGTGCTGGGGGCTCCAGCTGCCCCAGGAGATAACATATGGAGCGGAGCTGGAAGCAGGGATCAGCCAGGAGCACAGAAGTGGCTCGCTCTATCCTGGGGGAGGGTGCAAGGGTCGTGTCAGGGGGCTCAGGGACTGTAGGAAAGCACTCTACTGAAGAGGTGATTGACAGAGCTAGACCAGCTTCATCCCATTCCATCTCCGTGCTTCTTACCAGCCCAGTTAGTCCTGGATCCCAGTAAGGACCCATACAGTCCAGGTGCCAGTTTAGGGGACTCGGGAGCTACCAGAAGACAGTGAATGTCCACCAGCCTTGTGACACACATTAACCCTTCAAAACTACTCCAAATAAACACTATTCGTAGCGCGTAAAAGATGCTTCCCAGCCTCCTTCCACCAGCCTGTGCCTGGATGGGCAACCACTTGGGGGAAATGAGCGCTGAGGAAAGCCGCTGGCCAAACGCCTGTTGGGGTCCGGCTCGCGCCCGCCCCCCACTGGCGGCCACGCGACACCCTTGGCCACAGCTGCCCCGCCCCCTCCGACAGGAACCAATGGAGGCTCGAGGTTCCGCCCCCTGAACCACAGACTCCCGGCGACTATTTAGCCGAGTGACTAGGAAAGCACCGGGAGAGCCGGAAGAGCCAGGGGAACCCGGGAAGGGAGTGCCGAGCTGAGTGCGGCCCCACCTCGCCGCCTGGGAGCTGGAGAGCAGGAGCAGCCGGCTGTGAGGGGCAGAGTCCGCGTCCTAGCTCCCGGGCCATGACCCATCCGGCACCGCGCACGTCGAGCCAGAGCAGAAGTGGGTGAGTCCCGGATCTGCGCCCTGCACAGGAGCTGTCCTGCTCCATCCCTGGTGGCCACCGCCATGGCCTGGCTGGTGCTGCTGGGCACACTGCTGTGCATGCCGCGCGTCGGATTAGGCACCCGGGACTACTCTGAGGCCCTTCTGCCCCCTCCGTCCCACAACTGCCCCGACAAATGCGTCTGCGCTGCCGACCTGCTGAGCTGTGCAGGCCTTGGGCTGCAGGACGTGCCGGCCGCGTTACCCGTCGCAGCTGCGGACGTCGACCTGAGCCACAACGCACTCCAGCGCCTGCACCCCGGCTGGTTGGCGCCCCTCTCCCGGCTGCGCGCGCTGCGCCTAGGCCACAACGAGCTGCGTGCGCTGGGTCGCGGCGTCTTCACCAACGCCAGCGGCCTGCGGCTGCTCGACCTATCATCTAATGCTCTGCGGGCGCTTAGCCGCCACGACCTCGACGGGCTGGGGGCGCTCGAGATGCTGCTGCTGTTCAATAACCGCCTGGCCCACTTGGATGAACATGCCTTTCATGGCCTGAACGCGCTTAGCCGGCTCTATCTGGGCTGCAACGAACTCGTGTCCTTCTCTTTCAACCACCTGCACGGTTTGGGCGCTGCCCACCTGCACACTCTGGACCTCTCTTCCAACCAGCTGGGCCACATCCCAGTACCCGAGCTGGCCACGCTGCCGGCCTTTCTCAAGAATGGCCTTTACTTGCACAATAACCCCTTGCCCTGCGACTGCCGCCTCTACCACCTGCTGCGGCGCTGGCACCAGCGGGGCCTGAGCGCCGTGCGGGACTTCGCGCAGGAGTACGTGTGCCTGGCTTTCAAGGTACGGGCATCCCGCGTGCGCTTCTTTGAGCACAACCGCATCTTTGAGAACTGCTCAGCTGCCACTGGTCAGGGCTTAGAGCGGCCGGAAGAACAGCTGCACGTGTGGATGGGCCAGTCCCTGCGGCTGCACTGCAACGCCAGTGCCCTGGCCATACGCACTGCCTGGGTCTCCCCGCAGCACGAGCTGCTCCTGGCGCCGGGATCCCGAGATGGTAGCATCAAGCTGCTGGCTGACGGCAGCTTGGCCATCAGCAACGTGCAGCCGCAGCACCAGGGCATCTTCGTGTGCCTGGCCACCGGGCCGCGCCTGCACAACCAGACACACGAGTACAATGTGAGCGTGCACCATCCTCGCCCTGAGCCCGAGGTCTTTAGCACAAGCTACACCACGCTGCTGGGCTGTGCCGTGGGCCTGGTGCTGGTGCTGCTCTACCTGTTTCTGCCACCTTGCCGTGGCTGCTGCCGCTGCTGTCTCCGAGCCTGCCGCTGCCGCCGCTGGTCACAAGCACCCAGCCCTCTCCAGGAGCTGAGCGCACAGTCCTCAGTGCTCAGCACCACACCACCAGATGCGCCCAGTCGCAAGGCCAGCACCCACAAGCATGTGGTCTTTCTGGAGCCAGGCAGGAGAGGCCTCAATGGCCGTGTGCAGCTGGCCATAGCTGAGGACTTTGACCTCTGCAACCCTGGGGGCCTGCAGCTCAAGGTCAGCTCAGAATCTGCTAGCTCTACAGGCTCTGAGGGTCCTGTGATGACCTAGGCTGCCAAGAGTCCCCTCTACCCAGGCCACCACCCTGCCCGCTGCTTGCCCTGCTCCCTGCTGTACTTCAGGTAACTGCCAGGTGCTGATGGGAAGCCCTGGCCTGGTCCCACAACCTACTGGGTGGGCCTTGGCCTGAACCACAAGGCCCTGCTCACTGGTGGAGGAGTGGGGTCCCCAGCCTTCTCGTGCTCTGCCTCAGCAAAGGTCTTAAAGGCCTCAGGCCCTAGCCGGGCCTGTTTGTGCCCACTGCCCCATGAGGATTGGGGGCAGAGGCTCATCTAGAAGAATGTTTGCATGGGAGCCCCAGTCGCTGTCAAGGGGTGGCACTGAAGAGCTGAGGCATAACCAACTTCCCCTTCCCAAGGGTCTAGGAGAGAATGGGCCACAGGGAAGTAGGAGGCGGCTCATGAAGGAAGACCTCCTGGGAAACAAGACTCCCTGTCCACCAACATCCAACCTACTTAAAGCTTCACAACGCAACACAGGATCTGGTGGGCAGGCATTAGGCAGGCATGGCTCCTGGCCTGAGTCCCAGAAAGACTGGCCCTGCTCGCTGGCCAGGGGCATCTAGAGGCCGTTGACGGCAGATCCCACCCCACGGCTGCAACTCACGAGGCAGCTCTGAAGGGCATCACGGCCAGTGCTCCCAGCTTTTCAGCAGCAGAAAGCCTGCCGGGTATGGCCAAGCTGGGAGGGGAGCTCGCTGAGCTGGAATTTGCTGTCCCTCGAGGGCAGGAGCCTCTTAAGGGCTGGCACTGGTCTCAGCCTGATGACTGAGGCGGTGCCCTGCCTTCATGCATCTCACCACCCCTGCTGCAGGGAGGCAGGGAGGGGGTCTGGGAACCCCTCATGCGTGGGGGCTGAGCTAGGCCCCTGTGGGTGTCCTGGGCCCAGCTGTCATGGAGTTTCTTAATAAAGGCAGGACGTGCCCATGGCTGGAGCCTTCGCAGATACCAGTGTGTGTGTGTATGTGTGTGTGTGTTCGGCTTTCGACTCCCGCAGTGCCCCCAGGCCCTACCCAGCCATCGCACGGTGACCCTAAGGGAGTCCTGGTTCCCCTGCCTCTGCCTGAGGCATGGCCACAGCCAGTGACTCAGGCCACAGACCAGGACACCTTGTCCTGCTGGGGTCCCTGATTCTCTTACCCAGAGCTACAGCCACCTCTTTAGGCAATTCACACCTCACCACCTCCCCTCTGCCTTCAAAAACCTGGTACTGAGGTCCATTTTACAGACAAGGAAACTGAGCTGCAGGGAGGCCCTGCCCAGCCCCCTTGCCATCAGACACACCTGGCTCTCATGGGGCCCACCGTCCCCAGCACTCACCCTGAAGCTGGCCCATGCACCAGGAGCTGCACCAGGATGCCTGTCACTGCCACCAGGATGGGATAGTGGTCCACACTCTCCAGGCCTAAAGGGAAGGGAAGGAGGGGGTAAGCCGCGCATGCACGCCTGCTGCAGGGCCTCCAGGCCCAGCTGATGCCATCCACCTCCTGACTGTCCTCCCACAGAAGGGCAAGCTGAGGCTGGGCCGTAGGCCTGGCTGTCCTAACACAGCCTGGAGAATCGGGCATCACTGTTCCTGAGAGAGGAACCCAGGCCCATGGGGTACTGCGGTGCGGGGTGTCTGAGTCCTCACCAGGCAGCCGTAGGGTGACCACACGGTCAAACAGGTTCCTCTCAGCTGTCACCCGGTTCAGCACCTGGTTCAGCAGCTGTGAGTGCAGGAGCCCGTCAGTGGATGAGTAGGCTTGCCACTGGAGCAAACCCCAGGGTCCCACCCTGCTTGCCCAGACGGACATACCTGCGCAAGACGCCGCAGCAGCATCTCAGAGGTAGGCCGGGCCCAGTCGAGGAATATCTCGGGCACCAGTGTGATGGTCATCTCCAAGACACGCAGGAGGCTGACTGAGAGGTCAAAGCAGGTGGCACATACCTTGAGCTGCCGGCTGTCCACAAAGTTCCGCTCCAGACGTTCGGCCGCCTGTTGGATCTGAGCCACCAACAGGTGGGCAGACAGCTATCAGTGGCCTGGCCACACCCCGAGACCATGCCTTGTTCCCACACCACCCTGGCCCACAAGGCCCCACCACAGCTCACCTCCTGGATCATGCCGATGAACTCCGAGAAGGCCCAGTTGAGCTGGTTGAGGACGCTGTTGAGGAAGCTGGGTGCCACATCAGGACCCTGTCGCAGCAGGTCTGCCATGTGCTGCTGCAGCAGGGTGGAAGGGCAGGGCTCTGCAGGAGCACGGGGAGGTGGTGTCATCGGGGAGGCCAGTGCAGTGGCCCCTGCCTATCTGCCTCTGTGCTCACCACTGGGCCACTAGTGTGAGGACAGAAAGACAGCTCCCTGGGAACCACACAGGTCACGGGGGCAGGGAGACAGGGTGCTGCACTACCTGGGGGTCAGGGCTGCATCTGACTGCTTCCCTAACCCTGCAAGCCCCTCAGCCTGGAGCAGCCACACAACTCCAGCCTGACCCTTCGAATGGGGTTAGACCTAGACAGGGCCTAGACCCTTCCCCACTTCTATCAAGGCCAGCTTCCCCGAGGGTCTGCTCTGAGCCAGAACCCTGCTGTAAGCCCTCTCCTGTCCTCTGTTGCCCTTGGCCTGGCCTTGGCAGATGCGAGAGGGGGTGGGCACCAAGTCTGGGGCTGGCAGGCAGCAGTAACCAGAGCCCTCAGCCAAGGCTGGGACCAGCCTGCCTTCCCCACCCCTCCCGATGCAAATCAATAGTCCCTGCAGCAGCACGACGCAGACCTGGCCCCACTGCTGCCTCTCCACTTGCAGCTCAGTTCTGCCCAGGACAGGACCGAGGCAACCGGCAAGGACCTGCTGTGTGACTTTGCACAAGGGGCACTCGGCTGCTCTGGGGACGCCCCTCAAAACAAAACACTGCCCCACCAAGGCAGAAATATACCACACTAGCCAAGGACAGCCACTACGTGGGGTGAGTACAGTGTGTGGCAGGCAGATCCTGTAAACTGGACAGTCTGAGACCCCCGGCCAAGCCTAGGTGAAGGTTCTCAGGCTTCCAAAGCTTTGCTGGACCATGGCCCCAGGAGACAGAGCATAGTCTCTGCTCCCAACCAAATGGCCCTTCTTCCAGGAAGCCTCATGGATACCACCTGGGGCCCTGACCGACCCCCAGTCTGCCCCACCCCACTCCCTCGACTCAGGTCTGGACATGGTGCTGGGATAAGGCTGGAGGTCAGCGAGGTGGCTCAGTGGGCAAGGGACAGGATCCTCACCCTGCATGAGCCCGGGAAGATGCCGCCCCTTGCCACTGTGACCCACACAGAGCACTTGGGCCCAAAGGCACACACAGGATGGTGCTTTGTCCCCCATACCACCCTGGCCCACAAGGCAGTGAAGTCTCAAGAGTGTCAGGGTGTTTGGGGCCCAGCTGGAAGAAGCGGGTGAGTCTGAGAGAACCCCAGCGTGGCGGGCGAGGAGCTGCTGGCCCGGGTACTCACTCTGGAGGCTGGGCAGATGGGCGTCCTCGGGCTTGGTTTGCAGCAGGTGTGGCAGCCTTGTATAGCGGTACCCGAACCCACAGCCCTGGGGGTGGGGCCAGTGGGGGGTCAGTGGGCCAGGGCAACCCCGCCCTCCAGCCAGCTGCAGCCACCGCTTCTCCAGTCAAGCTTACCCTCCAGAGCCGCACCAGGATCCAGTTGGTCTGGGCCCAGGGCCGCTGCTCATAGGGCGCCAGGAGATTCCTCACCATGGCGATGCGCCTGTGGGGGCAAAGGGTAGTGGGCACGGGGTGAGGCTGGTCGTGGTGCTGTGCAGGGCAGGTGCGTGCCCCCCCCCCACCCCATCTCCGCTCACTGCTCCTCAGGGATCCGCTCCACAGCCCGCAGGGAGTGTGGGTAGCACACGTAGCTGGCCAGGGCCTGCATCAGCGAGTCCCGGATGTCTGCTGGGAGAAGTCATGCCTCAGCAGGTGCCTGGCATGGGCCCCAGCCCCCATGCCTCATGCCCACCTGGCCAGCACTCTGCACTGAAAACAGCCAGCCAGAGATGCCATCCCACACAATCCCCCCACCAGCCACCGTAGCGTGTCTCACCAGTGCCTATGATACGCGTGTCGGCAAAATGTTTGGCAAGGGTGGCGGCCAGGTGGGTCAGGGTCTCTTCATAGCCTGCAGGGTGGGGTAGTGGGAGCTGTTGGCTGGAGGTGGGGCTCCAGAGGCAGGCCTGTCCCTTGGCAGGGGGGCAGACTTGGGCAGCAGGCTCCAAGGGCCAGTCTGGACCTGGGCCGGTGTCTAGGGACATTGGGCATGACATTCACTGGCAGCTGATGAGGGACTACAGCACAGACTCGCTGTGGGGGGAGGGCGGGTCCTGGCCAGAGTCCTGACCTTGGCTCAAACCCAGCTCAGCACACACACTTGAAGGCCCAGCAAAGCCCCTCGGTCCCCCACGGCTCCACCTCTGACGACAAAGCCCGCATCTAGGCCTGGGGTGGGGCGGGGGTCAGGCCTGGGGCCTGAGCTTGTACCCAGATCCAGACATAAACCACCAAGCCCAGCCTGGAACCAATGGTCTTCAAGAAACCTGCTGTGATTTACAGAGATCAACCACTCCACCCCACAAAAGCAGCCACAGATGGTGGCCAGTGCCGGGGCAGTAGTGTCAGGGGCCAGCTGGTTCCTGGAGCCCCAGGAAGGGAGTAAAACCAGAGGGCCCCTACCCCGCGGTCCATATTGTCTGCTTCCCTCTCAGCACCACGAGGGACCGCTGGTTCTGTGGCTGCTGGCCCCAGGGCAGGGCTCACCATGTGGGGCTTTTACAAATGTTTGTTCAATGCAGGCCAGGAGTAGGAGCTGCCCCCTCCTCCCCACGTGGACATGTGCTGCTGGGCCATGGATAGCTCAGACCAGGGATCCAAGGGCTCATGCCAAAGGCCGCCTTTTCTGTTCCCTCCCAGCCCAAGTGGCCCCATCACCTGGAAGTTCCTCCATGCTGTGCACAGGGCCAAAGTAATTCTTGAGGGCGCTGTAGCTGTTGATGGCCACACTTAGGTAGAACTCAGGCATGAAGGCAAAGAGAGGGCCTATGCGGTCGCCATGCTCAATGGTCCGCAAGCAGACGCGCAGCAGCCAGTAGATGTCTAGCATCTTCTCCTGCGGGGACACGCGTGGAGGGTCACAGGGGGCATGACCTGTTCTGGAGGTCAGGAAAGGCCTCCCCATGAATATGACATCAGAGTTGAGACCTGGATTCCAGGAAGTGGAAGCAACAGCTCAGACGGGGGCAAGGAACACTTGGTGGGCACGAAGGCCCGTGTGGCTAGGGTCTGGAGAGGCCTGCAGGCGGGGAGGCAGGCGTGCCTGGCCTGGAGAGGCGGCCCTGTGACCCCAATGAACCCAGGTTTGAGTTTTGTAAGGGCACATAAGTTTGTAAGCAAAGGGTGATGTGCCCAGAAGAGTGTGAACACTGCTAAGTGCAGAGGGGCTGCAGGGGCAAGTGGGATAGGACAGGGAGAAGCCACGGCCCCTCCAGGCTGCACTGATGGGAAGGCCAAGAATGGTGCCCACGTTTTTAGGGGTAGTGGAGCTTCCATGGAAGTCAGAAGTGCTGGAGAAGCAGGCCTGGTGCACAGCAAACGGGGAGTGCAACTCAGAACAAGTGGAGCATGAGGTACCTGGAGATGCTCCCAAAAAGGTAGTGTTGAAAAGGCAGATAGAAATTTGGGTCTGGAGCTCAAGAGAGAAGGTGAATGGGGGAGTGACTGCTGGTGGCATGGAGGCCATGGAGAACACACAAAATCTTCCCCACGGTGTGGTTCTCATGTTCTCAGACGGTCTGTGTCAGGATGACACCAGGGGGCACAGGAGGGGTCGCCAACCAGCACAAGGCCCCGGGCCCTCACCCAGACCCATGGCACCTGCATCTCTTGACGTGGAGCCAGAGCGTCTGACTTCGCACCAAGTCTCCTATGTGCCCTAAGACCCAAGGGCCCAAGGAGAAGGTGTGAGCGAGAGGTCAGAGGGGGGCCTGGGCCAGGGAGCACACCTGGCAGGGGGGCCAAGAGGGAAGTCTGAGGAAGGGGACTGGTGCTGCTAAGGGGCCAACGCGATGAAGATGGGGATGTGCTCACAGGAGGAGACGAAAAGGTCGACAGAGACCCTGG